AAATGATTTGAAGGGTCTGAGAAAAATCTTTGATCTAGTAGAAGCACATGTCAGAGTATTAAAGGTACTTGGAGCCTCGTCTGAGTGTTATGGTAGTCTATATTGTCGGTCGTCAATCCTAATGAATAAGATACGCCAAGAAATACGTCTGATTGTGAGAAGGGAAATCAAAGGGGGAGACTAGGAACCAGAGTCCTTTATTGAAGGAGTTGCACCGAGAGCTAGAGGCAGGTAAGAAGCCACAGGAACACCAAATATTTAGAGACCATCTACGAATTCACCCCGAGCCTCAGCACTCAGCCCCACTTAAGTAAGATAATGTTCCCTGCATACGATGGAAACCTTTGAACTGAAAACTGGCTGCCTACAATGTGTATTTCCAGGAAATATGTATCCCCCCCCCACAGAAGGGTACTTTTGCTTTAGACCCCCACCCCCTGGAATTTCTATTCCAGGAGGAGCTTGTCGTGCCCCCAACCCAAAACCTGGAATTTCCGTAATTTTTTTTAACTTGGTTGGGTAACCTCTGGAAAGAATATTTGTGTCAAAAATGTTGTTGCATGTATTATTATGCAAAAGATGTTTTTTCAACGATAAAATGAGAAAAATCTTTTCATTCATGTTACGGTGTGTAAAAATTTGACGGACGTTCTTACCTAATATTTACATTTAGCCTGGGCTAAAAGCGAAGCTCTCGATAATATTTATAGTTTGCTCAAACAAAATATAAAATTGTGTTATGCTAAAGGTGATGTTACACGGGACGATTCGCAAAGACGGTTTTTAGCGCAACACAGCGTTGCAATGTTGCAACAATGTTGTAATCTTTCAAAACAATGCCGCAACAATGTTGCAACGCTGCGTTGCCTTAAAAATCATCGTTGCGAATCGTCTCGTGTAACATCGCCTTAGAGGTTGTTGCAACAATGTTGCAGGCATTCAAAACAATGTCGCCGCGATGTTGTTCAGAGTTTTGCTTTCTTGTGCAAATTAGGGCTTTTGTTATTTAAACCTCACTGGGATTACAAAATTTAAATCTGAAAGGAAAAAGGAAAATAATTCTTGTCGTAGTAGTAAAATGACGCCAGCGTGCAATGGCCTATTCCCTCCGATTTTCTGAAGTCAAATTGTTCACATTCCATTCCCCAGGTTAGGCTATCAAAAGAGTGATGGAGAGAGGATTCAGAAGAATTCTCACTTTCGTAATACGTTAAATTGCATCTAAAATTTTCGGGTAAATAAGACTAAATCTCCTGTTATTTCGTGAAGACTCAAGTTTTCCTGGGCTGACCGAACAGATACAATTTTTTATAGCGCCGCTTAGAATGCATTTCTAGAAATCTAAAATTACTCTGGATAGCCTAAAAAGTGTTTTAAATGTATTTAGGAGGAAACTGCAGTCGTTGAGTGCTCCTGAACAAATCTGATTTCCTCGATGCACGATCATGCTCTTAGTCCGCATCGTTGAGAACGACGGACGACCAACAATTTGAGCATACTACTACATTTGGCTTCTAAGTGATATTAATCATTCAAACCGTAGTGAACGGCAATAATCACTTGTAATTGTAAAATAGTTTTACCATAGTTTTTTATACAACTGTTTTTCGCTCCCTTTTAATAATAGATTACTCGGGTTTTGAGTTCAATAGAAAAAAAAATCATATTCCACCGATGACGAATCCTTTGTTGACTGCACGGAGTTATATAAGCCGGAAAACTACTGAAATAAAATAAACGAGGTCTACTAACTCACCAATAACCTAGCAGATTAGCCCTGAGACATTCATACAGTGACCACCACAAGATTCACAAATGACTGAATGAACTTCGGATTCACTGGGAGTGCTGGTCAGATTATATTTTGACTAGTCATCGGTAATCGCTTTATGACCATAAACAGAATACGTCCACCGAAAAAATAAAAATAATAAAACAACTGTGAATAAATGGATGAAATTATAACTTTAAGGGAGCTTTCTTTTCTTTGGGAAACTTTGAAATTCATTAGGAATACCTTTTTTCGGACAGAACAACTGTAATATTGTTGAAACACGCCCTTTTCCAAAGGCCGCTGATGAAAAATTGCGCCCGATACCAGCAACGACTCATAGCCTGCGTCGCAGACACTCTAAACACGGTGCATTGGCCAAATGCTGAATACGCAGGCTGCGGTAACGCCAGTCCACTATATTTTAACTACATTCTCACTCAAGCACAACTCGAACACCGATGATACCAATCCAAATGCTTCTGGAGGTTTTTTCGAAATGCACAGTTTGAAACTAATTGTTTTCACACAACATCTGGCCGAAAAAATGTTTAATTTATAGACTACGAGTAGTCACCCACTGTTTTTCCTCACGGATAGTAGAGCGAGCGAAACGCGAGCGCGCGTGAAAATCACCCCACGCGAGAAAAGGCGACACGCGGCGTGTCGCGTTTTCTCGCGTAAGGTGATTTTCACGCGCGCTCGCGTTTCACTCGTTCTACTATCCCTGAGGAAAAATGGGGGACTACTCGTAGTCTCAATTTAATTTATGGTATTCTATTTTCACTTAATATGGTCTTTTCGACAATCGATGTTGACACGATGTCATGAGGAATGCTGCACACAATCTGCGGGGATCAAACACTTGTTTTCGAATACGTTAACAAAACAACTCATGGTTTACACTAATTCTGCATCAGCAGCTATCTGAAATGGACTGTCTGGACTCACTGAGGACCTGAGACAAAGTGCGTCAAGTTTCGTTTCAGAAAATAAATTAATGCTGTGTAAGGAGTAGTTCCTTTCTTTTTTTTCACATTTTTATATTTCCGCCTATTTTTTTTTTCTAATTTATTATTGCTTTATAGTTACAGATCAAATTTTCTCTCTCGATTGCCTCGATTTATATGGGTTTTAAATAAAATCTAAAATCGAATTCACTTTTAATCTATTCAAGATAGGATCCAAGATAGTGGATGGTTCCAGTTCCTTCTTCAACAGTAGGAACGTCATCATGACATTACTGCTATTCTTAAAGATTATTAATGTGTTCAGTTAGCCAACCTCTTGATTTTATCACAAACCTTACTGTCCGAGAACTTTTCGCTTTCGTTTCGCTTTTTTGAGGGAAATTTTCTTAGTGCGTCTTCCCCCGTTGCCCGTGTCTGGCGCTCCACGCTCGCTTCGCTCTTGACTTCGCTCTTGACTTCGCTCTTGACTTCGCACTTGATGTTGTTAACTTTCATGGTCCACTCTGAACTAGACGCGCTAGAACGAAAAAAGCACCCAGAATCAATTCCGAATTAAAGAAAGGCATGCGCGATCGTGATGCTGCCAAAAGAAAAGCTATGGCATCGAACGATCCACGCGACTGAGCAAAGTACAAAAAGTTGCGAAATACGATATACAATAACATCAAGATTTCTGTACGTTGTCTCGTTAATGGTTCCCTTTCTAGAATCTGTTCGCATAAATGCGCAGTACCTCAGGGAACAATTCTTGGTCCCCTTTTATTTCTTATTTACATCAACGATTTGCCAAACTGCCTAAAGTCATGCCTGCCTAGGATGTATGCTGATGACACACACATCAAGCTACATCACTTATGCAGATGTTGATGTGAATTCAATACAGTTAAATTTGAATCACGATTTAGGTAATCTATAAAGAAATGGCTTATTTCCAACAAACCTACTTTGAACACTTCTAAAACTGAATTTATGCTAATTGGATCAAGAGAAAAATTGAGTATTTTGTCGAGCCAACCTGAGCTCTCGATTGATAATGTTCCGTTAGAAAAAGTTACCTCTGTAAAATCGCTTGGAATATTTATTGATGAAAATCTACGGTGGCAAGCGCACATCGATAAATTATCTAAGACTTTCCCTTCTGGAGCAATTAAAAGAATAAGAGATTTTGTTCCAACGCCTACTCTCCATTGTATATACAACGCTCTCATTCAATCTCAATTCGATTATTGTAATATCGTCTGGTGTAATTGTGGAAAAACTTTGTTTGACAGGTTACAAATTAAAGCTTCAGAACCGTGCTGCTTGTGTTCTAACCATTTCAAGATATGATGCTGATGCCAACCGCTTATTTAGACAACTTAATTGGAAATATTTGAGCACTCAGTTTCAAATGCAAAAAGCCCTAATGGTTTACAAGTCTTTAAGTGATCTTGTTCCACGATATTCATCCTCTAAATTTGTTAAACGATATGGAACGCACTAGTCCCTAAGGGACTCTCTTAACAAACCTAATTGTCCCGTTCCCGTGAAATAACTTCATGAAGAACAGCTTCAGTTATAGCGGAGCAGTTCTCTGGAACAGCCTGCCCTGTGATATGAGAAAGGCCAAATCTTTCAGTCAATTAAAACGACTGGCTTATCTGAATTTCTGATTTTTTTGTGACGTGTACACAGCATTCATGAAAAACAGGTCTTAGGTAGGTTAGTCGTAGGTAGTCTTGCATATTGTTTAGGGTAGTTAGGTTTATTTATAAAACTTTTTTATACTCCTGATAGATTTTACCTGTTTAAATAAAGAATTTTTCTATTCTATTCTCGCCTGAAAAATAGGGGCTAGGAAGCCCTCCCCCCGCCCCCCGTGGTCACAGGAAGCCAAAACAAAGGCGGCCCATTCTACATCATCATCATCATCATCATCATCATCATCTTTATTTACACACGGTTACAAACATCAGGCATTATCAAAAAATAACTAAATATTTCCATCAATGTAATATAAGGAAAAATACAACGTATCAGCGAAGACTATGTACTGACAGAGATTCTAATCAGCATCGCTAATACAAACATGTTTCTAACTAAGAAAAGAGAGCTAAATTAAAACCTGTTTTTCATGAACTCCGTGTCTGAGTTAATTAATAATCGTCAAAAAATAGTTAGAGATGTTGCTTGCCTTGGCTGAGGGCAGACTGTTCCAGTCTAGTTAAAATATTATTGTATCGCTAGTCTTTTACAGCTAAAAGGTGAGAGAGGGCTCATTATGAATGTTCTTTGTCTTTCTTAACGGCTTTCAGTCGGGAAGCAGTAACCTTTTCATGTTTCGTTCCTCGAAAGTCAAGAGAGAGCTTCCCGTCTTCATCAGTGTAGGGAGCTAGATACTTTTGCAAACGCTCTTCAGTGACAAGGGAAGGATCAAACACGCCATATGTACCCGACCATTGCCACTCGAGGAGCTCCTGAACGGTTTCAAACACAAGCCCCTTGCAGTGGGTGTCAAAACTCCGAATGATTTCAAATCCCGCCGATAAACAATACCGCTCGATTTTCGTTTTTGACTCAAGATGGAACAAACGAAAAATACGCTCTGCGTTTTCGGGATTCAGTAGCACGTAAGCGTTGTAATCAAACAAGGGTAGATAGGACATGTACTGAACTGCTACTTTTCCTCCAACCTTAAGACTGTCAAACATGTTGTTGAAGACTTGTTGCTTGTTAGACATCCAATGAAGAGCGTGATTACTGAAAATGATGTCGTAGACTTCAGCACCAATTCCTGGGAAGTTTATGGCACTCCCTTCTACAAACGAGAGATTCTCGATTTGACTGTGCGACTCTTTGGCCAGTTGAATTCGTTCCTCGTCAGGATCGACACCAATAATCTTTCCTTTGGGTCCTACCAACTTTGCGAGGTATGCAGACAGTTCTCCTGTACCGCAGCCTAAATCCAAGATGAAGTCTCCAGCTTTGGGGCAGACATCTGTTTGGATGAAGTCTTCACCGTCCACTTTTTGCTCGGAAAGCGAGGCTTGCTGGTAACCTTCAGCTTCACTTCGTTGCATTTCTTTTACGAGCTGACGAAACGTGGCTTAGAGATAAAATGGGTCGATGAAGTTGCACAAAAGTTTGAAAAGCCTGCTTATATTAGAGAGTAAAATCTAGCAGAGCATATACCACGTGACTAAGTTCTACGTGCTTCATTGTATCCAAATTCTATTTTAGGTGACTCGTTTTTCTCGATCGCGCCCAAAATATCGCCTACAACGTAGGTTAAGTTTTCGAACTAAAAATACAACTTACTTGACCCAGAAAAAGTTACGTGATAATTACACGCGACGTATTATAAAACCGGAAACTTTTTACGTCTGGGTCGGCAGGGCAGAAATCTGTCTTTAACCTTAATACACGACTTTGGAATCATGAATATAAACACTCAGTCGTTGTGTACTATTATTGTAGTTTATTATTATGAACTACGTTTCATTTCACACCTCCCTCAACGTTGTCATATTGTGCCTAATTTTGTACCTGTAATTTTGTGTAACTATAGGTAGCTTATGACTCTTTGGTCATACCGTGCAAATACACTTCCTAATCCCTTAACTACGGATTTCCTTAAGATGAAAATTTCTGTTTTTTGTTATGAAATGACAGACCTGAAAGGCAACGAAAAAAGGAGAACATTATATATTTTTTGGCATTTACTCACTGTGCAAAATATAACACTACCCTAGACTGAGTCACGTAGAACGCACGTCACCTGATACTCTAATAGTATCGAATTTAGTTCCTTTCGTGCAGTTGATCTCTGAAGCATTAGTCAACTCGTAAAAGAAGTACAAGGAAGTGCAGCTGATTGTTCAGCAAGTCTCGTAATAAAGTAAACAGACTAGGGACACTCTGACAAGGTTTATAAGCTGAGGGTTTTCATTAGCCTTTCAAAGCTGTATTTGATGTAAAAATGTAATATTTTTAATTTCACTTTTTCCTTAAATGACCGCACAGGTTACTGCAAAATGATAGTGACAGTTTTTCCCATAATAGTGGGATATGTAACGTGCTACTTTGATATGGTGAACTAACCAGTACTTAAATCTGGCATAAATGAAAATAATTTTGTTTCAATATACACCAAACCAAGCTCTAGTTGTTTAAAGGTGGGTAATGTTATGCAGTTCGTTTCCCTAACACTTATGTATTGAATAGGGCGTCATCCAGTGGATTAAGCACTCTCTGACGTTTGAACAACTGGAGCCAAAGATAGAAGATGTTTAAACACAGCTGATTTTCTACATCAAAGCAGTACAAAATATTTTATAAGAAGTCCGAGTACTGTTTGTACTTGCATATACCTTAATGGTTGGATTTAATTACAAGCGGGGATGTTAACAAATTAGTATAGCTAATAGCATGATAACTAGTAATATTTGGCATAAATACCGCAAGTGATATTTCGAGCCGTTAGGCGAGTGAAATTTGAGACAATTATGAAATATCACGAGTGGTATTCATGCCAAATATCACCTACAAATCAGGCTATTATTTGTTTACACTACTACCTGCAAAAGGTTTGTAGTTTTCACATGTAGGTAATTCCGATTAAGCCGAAATACCACTACTCTCAGCCAATCAAATTGCAGAAATTTCTCATGTAGTAGTATAATTCATATAATCCTGTAAGTGGACACACGTTCAAAGGCGAAGCCTATTGCAGGGTGGTGATGGATGATGGGAGGGGGGGAGGGGGGGCAGGGAGGGGGCATTTAAAGTGCATGTTTTTTCAACTAATAGTCAAAGTCGGTATCTGAAGAGCTTGTTTAATTTTTTCGGCCAGACTTTGTCGATGTATCTACCTTTATAAGTCCAATTTTTTTACTTCTTTCCTTGGAGGGTTCTTTTATGTTAGATATAGTTAGGCAAAAACTTTATAATTCTTTTGGGTTGCGTAGAAAATTTCACTGTTCATTACAAATTTTGAAGGGTTTATTTCCAATTAGCCAATTCGCGACTCCGACCACCACTGGTTTTCATTTTGTGGGAAACTAGTGGTGGCTATTTTTAAGGCTAAGTTGCAATAAAAAAATGCTGTATTTCTGGTTAGTGAAAAATACTTGTTGTTTAAGTTTAATTTACATTTATTCAATGAATTACAGCATTAAGCGCACGGGTATGAAGTTCGAGTTTTTCACTGAACTAAAAGGGAGAGTCTATGCTTCGGTCAGACACTATTCAAAAAACGTTTTTCACCAGAGACTAAAAGTCAAAGTCCATGCTGAGGTGAGGCTATTGTTCAACAAAAGTTTATACACCGCAACTGCGAATTCAGTTTAGGTGAGCCACAAAGAAACATAACAGAGTCATACACTGAAAATCTATGTAAAAGAGTGTGATTTTCTTTATGAATGTTCTTTGTCTTTCTTAACGGCTGTCAGTCGGCAAGCAGTAACCATTTCATGTTTTGTTCCTCAAAAGTCGAGAGAGAGCTCTCCGTCTTCATCAGTGTAGGGAGCCAGACACTTCTTCAATCGCTCTTCATTGACAAGGGAAGGATCAAACAGGCCACATGTAGTCGACCATTGCCATTCGAGAAACTCCTGAACGGTTTCAAATACAACCCCCTTGAAGTGGGTGTCAAAACTCCGAATGATTTCATCAAATCCCGCCGATAAACAGTACCGCTCGATCTTCGTCTTTCACTCAAGATGAAACAAACAAAAAATGCGCTCTGCGTTTTCGGGATTTAGTAGCACGTAAGTGTTGTAATCAAACAAGGGCAGATAGGACATGTATTGAACTGCTACTTTTCCTCCAACCTTAAGACTGTCAAACTTGTTGAAGACTTGTTGCTTGTTTGTCATCCAATGAAGAGCGTAATTACTGAGTTTATGGCACTCCCTTCTACAAACGAGAGATTCTCGATTTGACTGTGCGACTCTTTGGCCAGTTGAATTCGTTCCTTGTCAGGATCGACACCAATAACCATTCCTTCGGGTCCTACCAACTCAGCTAGTTATGCAGACAGTTCTCCTGTACCGCAGCCTAAATCTAAGATGACATCTCCAGCTTTGGGGCAGATATCTGTTTGGATGAAGTCTTCACCGTCCACTTTTTGCTCGGAAAGCGAGGCTTGTTGGTAACCTTCAGCTTCACTTCGTTGCATTTCTTTTACGGGCTGACGAAACGTATTTCACAGATAAAATGAGACGGTGAAGTTGCACAAAAGTTTGAAAAGCCTGTTTATATTAGAGAGTATAATCTAGCAGAGCATTTATTTTTCTATCAACGTGCTACGTGACTAAGTCCTACGTGCTTCATTCTTGAGCCGAATTCTTTTGTATTATCATTATTATATTATTGTTATCATTTATTGTTATTAAAATTATCATAAACGTTTTCAGTGCTATTGCTTCGTACACTCTGCTAGAGCCGGGGCTAATCCTTGGTCCTACGGTACCAGGGGAGTTCTTTTAATTTGATGGACAGAAATCTTCTCAGTATGTGCGCCTTTCCTAGGAGAATGATCTTTGGCAGCTCATTATTGTTACTGGCTCCAGGGATCTTTCCTATATTCTGGTCCATTCCCTCTCTAATTTAGTCCCAGCGTACCAACAATAATCGGCACAGTCTCTGTCCTCATTCCCCACATTATTATTATTATTATTATTATTATTATTATTATTATTATTATTATTATTATTATTATTATTATTATTATTATTATTATTATTATTATCATCATCATTCGAGAAAACAATAACAGCCGCACAGGTCGCCACAGCGCAGTCGAGGTTTTAAACCTTGGGCTTGTCGGTAGTATTCATTTAAGTCTAGGCACATTTAAAACAAAAACGGAAGAGAATGTTTTTTGCTTGAACAAAAAGTCATAAGCAAAATGAACATGTCCTTAGTCTGTTTAGTTAATTACGAGACTGAACCATCAGCTGCACTTCCTTGTACTTCTTTTACGAGTTGACTAATCTTTTAGAAATCAAATGCACAAAAGGTACTAAATTCGATACTAAATTAAGCTATCAGAGTATCTGTTGACTTGCGCTCTACGTGACTCAGTCTAGGGTAGTGTTATATTTTGGGCGTATCACAAGTATACATTTATTTTAAGTCTTGCACATTGAGTAAATGCCAAAAAAAATATAATGTTCTCCTTTTCTCATTGCCTTTCAGGTCTGTCATTTCAGAACAAAAAAACAGAAATTTGCGTCTTAAGGCAGTCCCTAGTTAAGGGATTTGGAAGTGTATTTGCAAGATATGACCATAAGAGTCATAAGCTACCTATAGTTACACTAAATTACAGGTACAAAATTAGGCACAATATGACTACGTTGAGGGAGGCGTGAAATGAAACGTAGTTCATAATAATAAACTACAATAATAGTAAACAACGTCAGAGTGTTTATATTCATGATTCCAAAGTCGGGCATTAAGGTTAAAGACAGATTTCTCCCACGTGGACCTGGACGTAAAATGTTTCCGATTATAATACCGCACGTGTAATTATCTTCTGAGTCTTGCAAGTTGTATTTCTAGTTCGAAACCTAACCTACGTGGCAGGCGTTCGAAGGGGAAGGGGATATTTTGGGCGCGATCGAGAAAAACGAGTCACTTAAAATAGAATTTGGATACAATGAGGCACGTAGGACTTAGTCACGTGGTATATGCTCTGCTAGATTTTACTCACTAATATAAGAAGGGGCTTTTCAAACTTTTGTGCAACTTCATCGACTCTGTCTCTAAAAGACGTCTCGTCGACTAGTAAAAGAAATGCAACGAAGTCCCGCTGAAGGTTACCAACAAGCCTCGCTTTCCGAGCAAAAAGTAGACGGTGAAGACTTCATCCAAACAGATGTCTGCCCCAAAGCTGGAGACTTCATCTTGGATTTAGGCTGCGGTACAGGAGAACTGTCTGCATACCTCGCAGAGTTGGTAGGACCCGAAGGAAAGATTATTGGTATCGATCCTGACAAGGAACGAATTCAACTGGCCAAAGAGTCGCACAGTCAAATCGAGAATCTCTCGTTTGTAGAAGGGAGTGCCATAAACTTCCCAGGAATTGGTGCTGAAGTCTACGACATCATTTTCAGTAATTACGCTCTTCATTGGATGACTAACAAGCAACAAGTCTTCAACAAGTTTGACAGTCTTAAGGTTGGAGGAAAAGTAGCCATTGAATACATGTCCTATCTGCCCTTGTTTGATTACAACACTTACGTGCTACTAAATCCCGAAAACGCAGAGCGCATTTTTTGTTTGTTTCATCTTGAGTGAAAGACGAAGATGGAGCAGTACTGTTTATCGGCGGGATTTGATGAAATTATTCGGAGTTTTGACACCCACTGCAAGGGGCTTGTGTTTGAAACTGTTCAGGAGTTTCTCGAATGGCAATGGTCGACTACATGTGGTCTGTTTGATCCTTCCCTTGTCACGGAAGAGCGATTGAAGAAGTATCTGGCTCCCTACACTGATGAAGACGGAAAGCTTTCTCTCGACTTTCGAGGAACGAAACATGAAAAGGTTACTGTCTGCCGACTGACAGCCGTTAAGAAAGACAAAGAACATTTATAAAGAACCCTCTTTTACATAAACGTACAGTATATGACTCTGTTATATTTCTTTTTGTCTCACCTAATTCATTCGTAGGTGCGGTGTGAGGCTATTTTTTTTAAGAAAGTGTCTCACTGCAGCGTTGACTCTGACTTTTAGTTCAAAAACACGAACTTTATGCCGTAATACATTGAATGAATGTGAACTAAAATTAAAGAACAAGTATTTTTCACTAACAAGAAAGTACATCTCTTACGGTCTTGGTCAAACAAATTATGTGTTGAGTTTCTTAGAGTTTAGGAATACATAGCCAGTTTGTACTATTAAAAATTTGAGCCGAATGATCTGGTACAATGTGATTTTTCAATGTATACATTATTGTGGCTAATTGCCTTGTCCTTCGTGTCTCAAAATTATCCCACCCAATTTCATCCAGGATCTCAACTGATCTTCTATCGCAACTAGAGAAGGTTATCAGCCTGGCAGCTCTGTTTTCCCCACAGCTTCCCCACATTATACTACAATACCGTATACGTAAAATTCCGAACATAAGCCCGTCCATGTATAAGCCCCTCCAAATATAAGTCCCCCAAACCGCTAACGCAAAAAACCATCGCCCCTCCAAATATAAGCCCCCGGGGGCTTGTACTTGCAAAATTGTCCTCAACTAGAAAGTAAAACAAAGCAAAAACGGTAAATTTACTTCCAACTGTACGGCTACCCAATCCATTTCGAAACGCTAATTTCCCTCCGTAGATAAGCCCCTCCGAATATAAGTCCCTGTAAAAGGATCTTTGAAAAATATAAGCCCCGGGGCTTATTTTCGGAATTTTACGGTAATTAAGAGCCAATGTCTGTAATTTTCGAGAATCGGTTGACAGTCGTGAATTTTTGAATTTCTTCATATTTCACCCAAATAATCTCTATAGTACACTAATTTCAAAAATCACTTTAAAACTTGTAACTGCTTTTTTTTTTTTTTTTCAGGAATCAGGCAAAGTTTGATAAACTCTAAATCGGCGCTCTTTCGAGTATGAAATTACCGAAAACTGAGCATTTTCTTCGCGCTCGTACATAAAAACGGAATGATATCTCTAGATGAAATCAAGTCGCAAAAAAGACACACATTTTTTCTTTATAATTCAGCAATTAACTTTAAATAAACCGTTTAAATGTGACTGTACCGGCCGCAAGAAGAAACACGGTTTCAGCACTTTTCAAAAATGGCAAATTTGAGCTAACTTCACCATCGTAAAAACCCAGTTGGTACATAGAATTTCAATATGAAACAAGAACTGTATTGAAGGATATCCTTTGCTGTTGTTTGTGTTAAAATATTTCTGGCGGCATTCCAAATGCGCACCTTCGAGAGACCAAAACCTGAACGGTATTTGACACCAGGAAAGCACGTGCAACAAGCAAGTTTCGACTCTCGGAAAATTAATCCTTCGCAAACATAAGTTACTTCGACATTTAAACCCTAGTGAGAGTTGTAACGGTTTGAGACTATATTTCGGCGTTTCTGTTCGGTTTAACATGATTCCTTTCAACTGATTTTTGCGATAAACCATAATGAAGAGACACGAATACGCAGTTCAAATCACAGTTAGTAGGGGGGAATATTGTCGAAATACTCGCTTGCTATAGTTTTAATCGTATTGAAACCTTAAAATCAGAAAAGTTATTTACTTACCTGAACTTAAATGCTAGACGGGTTCACAGTACCGCTGACTAACTTCTGCATCACGGCAGAATCAAAGTTAAGTTTGTATATGTTTTCAATCTGTCAACACGAGGGAAGATGACATGCCGGAAGTGCGTGCGCGTAACGCGCCGGAAAAGAAATTCCTGGTATAAGTGTTTTACGGTGCAAGTCTTTGTTGTATGTTCGTATAGCATCTCGCACATATTCAAACTTGGTTTGTGGTTCCTGTGGCCCCAGTAATGCTGAATTTATTGCGATCATGGAAAAGATGCCGTGAGTCACTTGGTATGCTCCTGACTTGTTAGTCACCTGAGTATGTAGGGCAAAAACCAAACATCGACCCTACCATGCTAATGATACAAGTAAGGTTTTCTTCATTTACGTTAGGTGATCCTTGTTTGATCCACAAAAATTGGCGCATGACTGAAATAAGAGTTTTTCCACATCACCGCTAAATGCTTGGTTCCGGGTGGCGGTGCAACAAATCACGTGGTACCGTTCTAGATCAGCCTACTGGCTGCTCATAGAGGGGTCCATAAAGGCACATCGATTGATGACTCTGTATGGCCTGACGAAAATAATATACGCAGACGTTTCGGCTGAGCGACGAAGGTGCAGCTTTTACACTCTTTTTTCGTTTCGAAAATAGACGAGCACGTGACAGTCTCAGGTGACTATGCTAACGTCATGAAAAGTCTACTTAGCTTGTTTAAGTTTAGGGCAGGAGGAATTTAGGGCAGGAGGAAGAGATGGGTGGGTTGGTTGGCATTGGGTTCTCCATTAGGATCAACCCTACACATACAAAAATTCATGTCTTTATCACTACATTTAAAGCTAGCAGACTTGTTTGATCCACAAAATCGGCGCATGAAAATAAAAGTTTTTCCTCACCACCGCTAAATGTTTGGTTCCGGGTGGCGGAGCACAAATCACGTTTTAGCGTTCCAGAACAGCCTACTGGCTGCTCATTTAAAAGGGGTCCGTAAAGGCACATTAATTGATGACGAAGTTGCTGCCTTTACACTTTTTTTCCTTTTCGAAAATGGCCACTAACTTCTCTCCTCGCTCCTCGCCGCTAGGCGGTCATTTTTGCCTGAGAGATACCAATACGAAGGAGTTTTACCACTCAAGTCACTGCTGGTGCAGACCTAGGAAAAGGGCATTCTCCATCTGAAATTTAAATAGAAATGAAAGGCTATTTTGAGCCTTTTCTCTCTTTTGTCCGCAACGTATTTGGTTAAAAGATAGTAAGTAAAATGGCTGAGGCATTTTAAAGCATTTTTTCATTTACGCGACGGATTTTGGCGTTATGAAAAAAAACTTGTCAGTGAATTGGTTTATTTTCTAGCGTGCGAACAAGTGCCCGGGGGGTGGTGGCGGACAGAGCCAGGTGACTGTTCCTTTTTTTTAGGCGGGAGCTAGCAGTACGAGCTTTCTGGCCTAAGGCCATACTGTGTAGACTGGCCTTTAAGGGCCTCTGTTCGGGGGCGTGGGATCAGATAAAGTACAATTCGTCAACAGCAGGTTGAGGTCTCACCAGAAGATACCCTTGCTGCAGAGGAGCAAAGCAATACCTTTCAGTAATTTAAACTAGTTAAATACTTGTATTTCGCTTATCAAATGTGTCCATTGTCCATTGTCGATTTGTGGTTTTTCAGGAACGTTCTTTTGCGGAGCATAGGCCAATTTTCTTTAAACAGTTTCACTCGTTTCCATTTCCCTGCTCTACCTTCATGTGGCATATGGCGAACGTGTGTACCTAAACCACCTCAATTCATACAGAGGTGATCGATAGAGACGTCTATACCCCAAGCGGGGTTAAGAATAGTTTATCACAAGCAAAGGCTTAGAAGGCTAAGTGCAAATAAAAGAAAACTAGTGTGAAAAGTTTTGCAGACTCGGCTTGGTAACTCTATTTGTTTTCTTTCTCTATTTGAGTTTCGGCTGGTACATCCTAAAATCAAGTTTAGTTCCACATGTTTTGGAGAATATAAAATATAAAACTAAAAAAAAACAGTGTTAATTGTCATTTTATTTTTTCTTGTACACTCGTGCGATGATTCATCCTTTTCTGTACGGTTGCGTGACCAGACTCAGATCACACACGGGCTTTCATCACGGAACACTGCATTTAGTACGAGGCTAAACGACGGAAGATTTCAGTAAACTGCGGCCACTTGCAGTTGAAACGACTGTGGTAAGTAAATTCTTAGAGATCTCGAATCCCATTTAGAGCTAACACGCCGTTTCTAGCGGCTTTATTTTAGGTGCAGGAACTCAAGGTCAATATTTACACTCAATGAGGACTTAATCTGAGCGTCGTCTATTTCAGCTACTTGCGTGCAATCAAATACAGTGTTAATCTACTTAGTTTTTTTTTTCATAACCATCAAATTGAAAAGCGTTTTTCCAAAGATTTTAAGAGCTTTCCGTAATGTGCCCCTTGTAAAAGAAGATAAGTTTGCAAAAACGTTTGTGTGCCTACAGTCGCGGCTAGCTTGTTTGAGCGTTCCAACGTGCGAAACTACCCTGCACGTTTCGGTGTCTCAGCGACGCACTTTTGTAATGCCGCCAAAAATTTTTTAACACAAGAAACGGCAAAGGATGTGCTTTAAAATAGTGTTTGTTTCATGTTGAAATTCCATGTATCAATTGTTTCTTTCAATGGTGAAGTTAGGTCAAATTTGTCATTTTTGAAAAGAGCCGAAATCGTGTTTCTTCTTGCGGCCGACACAGCCACATTTAAGCAGCTTATCTAAAGATAATTGCTGAATTATAAAGCACAAGTCTATGTTTGCTTTGTGACTTGATTTCATTTAGAGATATCACGTTTTTACCTACGAGCGCGAAGAAAATGCTTAATTTTCGCTAATTTCATACTCGAAAGAGCGTCGATTTAGCGTTTTTCAAACTTTGCCCGATTCTGGAAAAAATAAAAAGCCGTTACAAGTTTTAATGTGATTTTTGAAATAAGTGTACTATAGAGATTATGTGGGCAAAATATGAAGAAACTCAAAAA